GCAGACCAAGAAGGAGGAGGCCACTGCGCCGGAATGCTGCTGCTAACCGTTGGTACTTGTTCAAATCGCCAGGCAAGGGCGAAGCGCAAGGAGGCCATGAAGGACTGAGCTGCCGCAGCCAGATGCGAAGCCGGATGAAGCCTGCAACCTCTGACCCGCGACGCCTTGGAACGGAAGCCAAAATCAGAGTCCATTCGCTTTTGGTGCTTCTGCATGTGCTTGCTTCTGAGAATTTCTTTCCGCATGGTCAGATGGTCCGGTTATGTATGTGGAGATATGACAGCTACTAGTACCACTTGCTTGCGGGCACATGGATCGAAGCTACTGGCAGTATCTTGCAATAAGGTTGGGCCAGAGTGGGTGAGCCTTAGAATCCAAGCTGCATGATCATGACAGCTGAGGCAGATGCCTCGAGAGCTTGCACCAGTTCTGGGAGAGTGTCACCGGCAGTTTTGTTGTGGAATGTCAAGAGTGTCTGTGTGAGAGAACCAAAACCGCGTGAACAAGCTTGTATGGGTGTTGACAGGTGGACACAGGCGGCTTGGGCTGACTTGGGGACCTGTGCAGCCAGAAAGATGTTTTCCTTCACCCGCTAACCATCGGAGCTGCCTAGCGGACAGGTGGAGGAGAACGGCAAGAAGCCTGCAGCTTACAATATACTTTGCACCCTTAGTCAGTTGCAGGCTTCGCATGAAATGCGCGGTCCACAGGTACTGGCGCAATGAGAAGCTGGGTGTTTCATCCTGGAAGGACCCCCCAGCTTGGTCGTTTTACATTTCGTTCCGCATGCTGGGAGTATTTCGCCTTGCTCCCCGCAGGATCCGAGACGAACAACGACTCTTTTTCAGGCGAAGTTGGAGTCATGTCGTTCCTCTGACAAGACACTTGAATGCTCCACCTTGCCAGGCAGCTCTAGATGGAAATCTTTTCTTCTTGCAGCTGTACACAGAGGTGGGTGGTTTCTTGGATGCTGCTGGGCTCCAAGCGGTCGCAGGTTGAGAAGGTCTGTCTGAAGACACCACACACTATCGCTCAGGTGGACGGCAAGGGCAGAACGGCTCTCCATTACAATTGTGCTGGGGGCTCCTCACAGGTGCATTTGCTTCGTGATCTGCTCGTATCTTGTCGTGGTGTAGCCAATAATCGGAGGCTGTGCACTACCTTCTGCAGCACGGCGCGAGCGTTCACTTGCCAGACCTGTCGGGTCTGCCTAGCGATGCTTGATGAAGCCTGGGGATGTTCGTGAGAAATTTACCTCGTGAGTTGCAATGTTTCAGGCTCCACACCGCTGCACTGGGCTGCACGATATGGCCACGCCCCAATTGTCAGGCAAGTGCTGTGTTCGTGCATGCCACAATGCTCCCACCCCAGCCAATTTCTTTGACATGTCACAATAGTGTTGCGTCATGCCTGCACCTGTTCTGACACGAACTTTGTGCTCAAAGGAGCACTTCGGAATCCTGCAAGCAGAACACCGAGGGAGTTGCCGGCCTAAAGAACTCAGGGGAAGTGCCGAGGCCATGGATAGGCAAGGCAGGACACCGACTGGAGCCACTGGCAAAAGACTACAGAGCCGTACCCCGCACACGATCACAGCCGGTCCCTTTCCGACCTTCGAAACCGAAGCAACTTAGGAGTTCTGAAAGGTCTCAGTACCGTCCTATAAGGTCCTATCCCAATCCAGTCATCTTAGTTCCTTGGAATGCAGGTTGCTCCTGGACTCCAAAGCTAGTCCAGATGAGCAAAACAACATGGGCGACACCGCCATGCACGAGGCAGATGTGTGCAGTGCCGCCCCACTTGAATTGAAGAGAGTGAAGAAAGGCTGCGGCGCTGGGGTTGGTGGAGCCCTTGCAGTGGCTGGCCACGAGCTCAGAGTCTTGCTCAGTTGCAGGCGGCCTCTTCACGCTTGCAGGTGGTTGCCAAAGCCAACTTGTCGCTCCGAAACCGCGAGTCTCGGACACCGCTGGAGGCCCTAAAGCCGGGGTCACTCACAAGTAGTGTAAACTTCCAGCCGCTGTGATCAAAGCTACATTGGCACATCTCCTACCCTGGCCAGCCATGTTGCAGGGCAGGATAGCAACTCCTCCGGTACATCTCATGACACTAAAGTGAAGTGCAACCCCTGCCATGGACATCAAGTGAAGCTGAGGATGCAGACGACAAGTACTGTATGTGATGCGACAGCACTCGTCGGGTGAAGGCGCCTCGAAGGCAGTCGAGATATGCCGAGATGTCCGGGATGGAGAGAAGTTGCAGGACAACGGGTTCACATGTTCACATCTAGTCTCCAAGGAACAAGGCATGGGTTATTAGCAGGGCTGACAATGCGCACCGCTCTGCTGGCTTGCTTCGCGCTGAGCCATGCCGAGCTGCTCTGCTGGCGGAATTCGGTGCCAAAGAGGAGCTTTTCGGATCTTCTCAGCACTTTGCCAGCGTAGCGTGGAATGAGAGTCTTGTATGCAAGGTTGTACTTGCTAAAATCTGGGAATCTGTTGCAAGCCCGAGATTTGCCGAGGGCCGGCTCGTGCATACTGTTCGAAGTGAAGTGGAGATGCGTGGGAGGAGCCGCAGCACTTGGTCCAATGCGCGATGTTTGCTGCAAAGTTCTGCTGAGGTCCATCCGTCTCGCTGACATTCTGATCGGCTCTAAAGCCTAGAAGTACGGCCTCGCAGGTCCCGCAGTGCTCCTGGCGTGTTGCCAGTCGCAGCCCGACACGCTGGGAAGTGACAGCCTTACAGCTCTGACTTGAGACACTGCGTCTCCCTCTTTATGACTCTTTACGTATCCATGGAGGTCGCAGCAACGCTGGACATGCATTCTGACGCGGTGTGTGGGGTTGCGTGGTCCCCGAACCAGCAGCGGATACTCACTGCAAGTGCTGATGGCACCGTGGGTCTTTGGGAGGAGCACTCGGAACATTAGTGACGCTGTACCTTGTGGAGTGGTGAAGCTGCCAGGAGCAGAACATCAGCTACTCTCCAGTGCAAAATCACGACCCAGAAGCATTTCAACTGGTGGCTTCGGCCTCGAGTGAGTGCACATGTCGCCTTGGAAGCTTGTCACAACGCTCTTGCGAGGCCATCCTTGGCTCCAACAGCCACAGTCCGGTCCGCGATGCGACCTGGTCACCGGACAGCGAGCTGATCCTAGCTGCAAGTCTGGACGGCTCGGCGAGAGTCTGGCAGCCCCTAGGCGTGAAAGAGAGACGGGGCGACTCACAAAGAGGCGCTCCACACACACCGACACCCGTTTAAGTCAGCCGCTTCAGCCCAGGCTCGCGGGCGACGCGCGCCGGATCCTGCGCAACGTGAGCGAGGCTGACTTAGAGGACTTCCACTCCGACAACGCCTCGGAGGACAACTTCACCAGGCGAGTAGAGGGCTTTTCTACGGTCGGAGAAGACAACTGGAGGGCTCAGTGGACGGCTTTGGCAGGCTCCGACCTCCGGCAGTGCAGGGACGTCTTCTGGAGCCTTGGTCTGTACACTCCATGCTCATGCAGTCGGACACAGCGCTGGCATCCAGGCTGCACAGGCTGCAGGAAGGGGTGTGATAGGATCCAAAGCAGCGCACAGTGCCAAGGCAGTGGAATGGAGCTCCAATGAGAGTGCTGTAGGTCGTGTGCTCGCCGGCTCGCGGCTCGTCGAGATAGTTCAGTACCATAGGGGTAGGTGGGCGGTGGTGGATGTGACTTCCAAGGCGAGAGCGAACGGCCTGTGTGTCCCATCGCGATGCGAGCCAGATGCTAAGATTTGTTTCAACTCACTAGCACAGGCACATACATTTGCTTGTATAATGTGTCTAACTAATTCCAAAGCGATCGCTCAATTATTCGGGTTCCTGCGGTGAACTGGAAGCTGACTGTTCTGTCTCTCCATGCTCTCTTCCTGAACTCTTCGAACCCCGCCGTCCGGTGACTCCCAGTGAGCTCCTGAGCTCCCTACCCGCAGAGCAACTTCTCCAGCGCCAAAACTGAGGCTTCGAGCCTTGCGCGTCCAGCCATGAGCTCGCGGAGCGCAGCACCGGGGCTTCCTACCTGCTAGGCGGGCGATGGCGGGCGTGCTGTTCGCTCGCTTCAAGTCTATACGTTCTTGGGAAGTTGCTAGTAGTCTGGTCGTCGTTCAGAAGTCGCAGCCGCGTGATTTGGGCATCAGCAGAATCGCAACAACGTATCTGGGTGTTCTAGCCGTTGCATGAAGCACGCATTTGGCGTGGGATCCTGCGCAGGGGCCTGATTCAATGATCTATGACCAGGGGTAGTGATACTAGTACCCTTCTTTTATGAACCCACCGTGTCAGCGTGTCCTATGCGGAGCTGCATATACCAAACAGACTTGTAGACCTATGTGAGAACGCCAAGTACAATAAACAAGCCAGAGAGCATGAGAAAACGGAGGGCCAGAGAGCATGAGAAAACGGAGGGTTTCAAAATGGTAAGGCCAAGATGAGACAGCCTGTTAAAGTTTCTGCAGACATTCAAAAACAAAGACAGCCATCGAAACAAACCCAGCAAATTGCACCCGAATGCTCGAACCAGACACATCTTGCAGTTCCTTGTAGATCTCATGGGTGGGCCTGGGCGGACCGGAGTAGGCCCCGAAGCTCTGCAGGTTTGGACCATTCTGCATCAATTTGGCATGCGAGCAAAGCCATGGACTGAGGATGCTCTAAGTCGCGGAATCCGCAAGCAAGCAGTAGCAGCGATGTGGTGCCCTTCGCTGGAGGAAATTCCCAGCCGCTGGGCCCTGGAAGCAACGCTGGAGGCCAGTCAGTCTAGAACCCCTGTCAACCGCGTGGAGTCTGCTGCCCGCTCCTCTCAGGGCGTCCATCACTTAATGGTCTCTGTTCGATGGTCACCAGACGGCAAAGAGCTCCTGCCTGCCGCCCAGATTCCCCAAACAGACAGCTGCGATTCGCGGCTGCTTAGCACCAGGACGGGGGGCAGCGACGGCCTCGCCCGCATCTGGACCCTTACCGACACGGACTTCCAGGGTAGCGGCCTGGCGCTCAGTTCCAAGCCCAAGCCACCTCTCGGAGCGAAATTTTTTCAGGTCGACAGCGCTGGAACCTCCGGGCGAAGATGCAGGTGCACAGCCAGGCGGGTGTGGCATGTGGGCCTCCGGTGAGAGCACTGCAAGTGGAAAGTTCGAGGCTGTTCGAGCCGTTGCTTGGTCTCCTGATGGACAGCACGCGCTCAGCACAGCTTTCAGGCCTGGTCGATCCCTGCCATGAGTCATGAGCCGCCTGAGGTGCTGACGAGCGGTCGCAGGGGCTACGCATATATCTGGTCGGGGACCGGGTCGTATCTCCAATCGAGCAGTTGAACAGTTGGAACAGCGCGATCCTAAAGGCATCCCTTGGAGGGTGATGCCGACTGGGTGCTCAAGGCACGCTTGGGCTGAAGCTGTCTCCAGCGATGTCAAAGGTTCGATTTCTGAGTTGCTTCCCGCTTTCCTTCTCTAGACCTCATGCCAGAGAGTTGCTTCTTTCATAGGTGCCAGAGGGACTAAGCACTCAAAAGGCAAACCAAGCTCCAGGAAGGTTCCACTATTCAATTTAGACCAAGAACGACGGTGGTATCCTTGACAAGGGCTGCAATCCAATGTCGCAGCATTAAACTTAAACTTCCGGCAACTGTAGTTGTATAGCAGGTGGCACAGTTATTCTTGCGTGCCATGCTTATTGACACACGATGTGTTTGCCCATCCAGACAGGTGCACGAGCAATTTGAACCACTTCAGTATCCATGAAGATCTGCCGACTGTTTGGCAACTGGCTGTGCAGGGGTTCCTGACGCAAGCAAATGGCATGGAAGTGCCACCGAACTTGTGACTCGGCCGCAATGACGAGCATGGAGATATAGGTAGGCGTGTGTCCGTGTCTGTGTATGTCTGCATGTGTTCTTGCGTGTTTTTTTTTGCGTGCGCGTGCATGAGTCATGCAGGTGCTTGCGTGATCTAGGCATATTCAGGCTTCCATGTGTCACGGTGCCAGAGTTGAGGACGAACACGGCGTTGCATTCACCAGTGAACCCGGAACGCCTGGACACTCTGCACTCGGACTCCAACATGGGCCGGTGTCCCAACCTCTCATCGGCAATAATGCAAAAAAGAGAACGAGACTATGCACGTTGCATCACTTGGCCAAGGCTGGGTTTCCGACTGGTCGCCTGTCCACGTTGCATCCTGGTCCTCGGACGGGCGCAGGGTGCCATCCAGCTAAGTTTGTTGCGCTTGGAGTATGGGCAAAGCTATTGTAGGTTGTGTTCGTTTCTGTAAACTGTTTTGCTAATGTTCACTCTGTACAATCCGTACGATGTAGTCGTGGAGTTTTAGCTACTGATACTTGTTGCAAGCCTGTTCCTCCACATGACACATAGCGCATGAGCCCGCTCCGCTTGTTTTTATTGTTGAGTCGTGATTGCTGTCTAAGCACGGAACACTCAGCGTCATCTGATCTCCAGCCTTGAGGGAAGTGATACACTGCTGAATCCTGAAGGGAAAGAGCGTGGTCCAAAACTCGAAAGTTGACTTATGCAAGACACCACAAACCCGCGACCTGCACAGTTGCAGTTGTGTCAATCCCTTCAGCGCTAGCGGTAGCTCCACAAGTTGTGTTTGCAACAGAGCATTGAACTGTTACCAGTTGAGGGTCTTTCGATCCATGCCTGGTCAGCATCTGTAACACGCTCAATGCAGAGGCGGCCCGACAGAAACGAGGTGTAGAAGACAGTACAGGATCTCTCTTCTAGGTTCTGGTCTAGGTTCTAGCTAAGCGCAGGCTAGACATGCCTGTGCATGCGCGGCAGATCGCGACCGGCAGCCCAGACGGTTCAGTGCGCCTGTGGTTGAATGATCTGCCTGGGCCCTGACGTTGTTCTCCGGTGTTCCTTGGTGGCTGCAACTGGCTGCATGTGAAGCAAGGACGGTTTATGGCCGGTGGACGTTGGAGGCAACCCTTCATGGCCACTCGCACGAGATCTGGTCCTTGGCCAGGATGCCCAGGAGCCTTGCTGAGAGCTCCCCGTGCCCTTCTTGTGCGCCAAGGCCTGGTCTCCGGACAGCCGAGAACTGGTTACGGGCGACCAGGCGCGAGATGCAACACACAAGTCTCTTCCAGTTCACCGTTCGCCCGCTCTGACGAAGCTTGGTCGAGCTCGACTGTGGCAGATGAGAGATGAGGACAAATCTGTTCAAGAGCAGTGAGAATGCTAAATGCTGAGTGCTATTCAACGAAGCTGTGTGCCCTGAGGACATGCAGCACTGATGACACCCCACCGCGGAGACTCGATGTCGTGTCCAAGGTTTCGGGAGACATCTGAGCATGCATGCCGCGACGCACATGCTTCGGTGGAAATAGGTGCCCTCGTCACCGTGGCCACCTGATTGACAAGGAGTTGAACAGTGCAGCATACATGTGCTTGGCCTGGCTTTAAGCCGAAAGATAATGAATCCTCTCGAGCCCTTAAAGAGGGCATTGGCGAGAGAGCTGAACAAAAATGGCACCTTCTGCCTTCGTTGCAGATTTGCAAACTACAGCTTGACACCGGTGGAACAGTGCGGCAGACTGCAGCTGCAGGTGGCAGAGCGAGCTCCTTCCAAAGAGGCCCTGCAGCTGCTACAACGCCTCGAAGGTTGGAGCAGTGACGCCTTGGATTGCCATACAACGAATCACCTCCTGCGTTCTGATCAGACGATGACCTCGAGCAGTCTGGCCCTCGACACGTCATCGGTGCCATCCCTCGAAGCGCAAGAGCTCTGCTGCCTGGCTTTGCTTTCTTTTAGGTCTGAGTCGGATGCTGCTCGCACAGCACGGCGCGAGCGCCGCGCTCTGGCAGCCCGCGCGAGGGAGCAGGCGGGGGGGGGGGGTTCGATTGCATTGTTTCTTGTTGCATGAGCAGACAGAGCGGAAGCTCCTGAGCTCCTTGCTTGAGAGAATTGCAGAGTACCTGTTTTTTCAGCGAGACGTAACCCTAGAATTAGTTGCATCCCTGTTCGTTTAGTATGAATTCGTTGTGCGCCATTGCGACACTGATCTTCATTGCCGCCTTGCGCCAGTGAGTTATGATCCTGACTGGCGCACCTGGCCACTGCAGGTGACCAGCCCCGAGCACGAGGAGTCTTCTGGGGAGGAGATCCGAAGCACGAAATCTGTTGTGCTTCCACACGATTTGGTTGGGGGTCCCAAAACAATCGACCGTAGGGCGCTCCAGCTGACGAAACAGCTCTGGGAAAGACGCATCAAGCCAGGTTCGGGATCAGACCAGCCTTCGTCGAAGCTACATTTAAGCTCTGACCGACAGATACACGGGATGCACGGCTGGCTCAGCTCTTTTGCAACCAGCATCAGCTTTCTGACGTCAAAATGTTCAACAGTCCATGTCCATGGTGGTTATTGCAAGAAAACGTCCCAGTGGGGAAGGTCGCTAAGGTAGGGACTTTTGCAAGAGATGTGGCTTCTGCGCAGAGCTGCAGCGTTTCATTTCCTCAGAACCCATCTTCTGGAGGATGATTCGCCTTCCTTGGCGCTCGCGGTTGTTCGGGCCGCGAGGCAGGGGAGCCTCCTCCACTGAACTCACCCAGTGATTCAGAAAGTTGAAAGAGGCCCTTGCTTCGCAGCGTGCAGTGGCTGGCGAACCGTGTCTTGGGCGAGAAGAAAACGAACCTCGACGAAAGGCAGAGTTATCGTGGCTGAATTGATGCGCCGCTGTGCTGTGCTTCTCGTTGTTTGCCTGAGGAACCTTGGAGACACAAGCCAGCTGGACCTTCAGCTTCCTGTTGGTTCTGCCACGACGGCACAGACCTTGCTTCCTTGTGCACGGCATCAGGTTCTCCTACGACCACATGTCCGGGCAGTGGGTGTTGCAGAGGTCCGGCACCATGAACTTACAAGAGATCAGCTGCATTCGTTTCTCTGGGGAGGCAGCCAGGGGCGGAGGAGGAGTCGGCTTCGTCGGAAGACCAGACGTGGCCCGCTCCTCAGACAGCGAGATCTGCTGAAAGCCAAATCGCCGAGCGGCCCGAGGTCTCTCCCCGAGAAGCACGGAACGAGGCCCGCCCGGCATGCACTCGTAGGCGACTCCGAGGATTTCCCTAGGCATAGCTTGCATAACAATGCATAACAGCTACGCCGCTACGCCCCCGCCAACAAAAGGGAATCAGCTTCTAGCTCTGAATGCATCCGGGCCATCATATGGAATGCAAGGAAGCATGATGAGCTGAACCCTTGTGGAGCATTTCGCAAGAAAGCCACAATACCATATCCCCATAGCAGAAATCCTGGCCAGTTGTGACGCATGCACATTGCCACCACCAACAAGGGTACTACACTAGAAGAGCAAGAAGCGTCCACACCACACGGCACAAATTCGTTCAGGGTCTTCCTCTCCGCACAGTAACTTATGTAAGCTGTCCCAGCGCTACCAGGCGCCAAGACACCGAAGATGGTGGCATGGCCTGAAGCTGTACCTGGGCGTGACATGGCTTGAAGCAGCATCTCTGAACAACGATGTTGTTTGCTTTAATTGGGTTTGTGTGTGTGTGTGTGCGTGCAACGACTTGAATCTGGTACATTGACGCAAGTTCAGCAGTCAGACTTGGCTTCACTCCATCGTGTGTGGCTACGTCAGCTTGTGCAAGCGGCAACTGTAACTTCAGTTCATCACGCCTTCGTTTGCCACAGCCCTGCCAGAGCTTGCAGAGGCTAACACACCTTGCACACCCTCATCTTTCATTTTAATCGTGCAAAGAACACAAACAACATAGTCTCACTTTGTTTGATCCTTGAAAGGTGACCACACCTCGCGACAGCGAAAAGCCAACACCGTAGTTGAAGAAGGGAGGAGGGATCTAGCAGATCCGTCCATGCCCCGGTACGAGTGCACAGTACTGCAGCCACTAGCGCTCGACGGATCTGGTGCGACAGTGCCCGGGCCCAGCAGAGAGGTGGGGGCAGAGAGGTTCTTCAGACGGGTGAGATGCGCTGAGCCGCCGGCCAGGCCATGCCAAACGCGGCCAGCGGTGAGAGGTCCACTTGCATCCGTGCGTTGTCTACTGGGATCCCGTGCCTCACTCCAGCTCACATGCAATTTAGGACGCGCCACAGGACAGAGGACAGCTTGAAGGAAGGGGATACACAAGTACTGGCGTTGTGCAACATTGTATCACACTTCTCACCCAAACCCAGTTTCCGAAGGTGCCGACTGTTTTTATGGCGTGGGTTGACCTTCGAATGCTAGGCGCCGCGGCGCTCGCCGCGCCTGCCATGTCCTGGCTGCGCTAGGCCCCTCGTGCGATGTTCCATCTTACCATGACTACAAATCCGCATTCATCAAGCGCTTGCCGCCAGGTCTGCTGGGAGCACTCCGAGCTGGAGCAGCCTTCGCATCGACCAGGCAAGCGGAGGGCGGATGAGGGCGGTGCTCGCGGCGACGACGCGTTTTGGGTGCAAGAGGCAAGCGGTCGAGGGAGCCAAGGAAGTCCCACGCCGCCAGCTGCTGACAGGCGATGTGAAAGCGGGAAAACCCGGTCTTGAGATGGGTGCTTCGAGGAGCTGGTTTGAGCACGGCCCTCACAGCCACGCCGGCGCTAGCGTTCGAAACGCCCAGCCCCCACATTCAAGCAGCTCTTAACACGTCAGACTCAGAGAAGCCCGCCTGTGTTGTGGCAGAGGTGGGTAGATTCCAACCAGGGCTACGAGTTCCAATTCCCAACCGGCCCGCAGAAGTCCGCGGCTGGGTTTAGAGTTCCGAGTGTCGAGGACAGGGTCACAGAGTGTGAGCTGTGCCAAGGTCCACCCTGAAGGGCTACGATGTCTTCTACCGAGACATCCTGGAGCCTCTCGAGTACATCGGTGTCAAGGCCACAGTGACAGCTACCTGCAAGCAGAACCTTGGGCAGGTCTGCTCATCCGCTACAGTAAGGGGCATGACGCAGACAGCGGTTACCTGCCCAGAGTTTGTTGCAGATTGTCGGAACGCAGCGCAACAGCCTCGATGACGTCGGCACACCGCAGGAGGTGCACAGTTTGGGTTTGAGTGGTTGCCTCTGCACTGGCCTTGTGATCCTTGGAGGGAACAGATGGCTAGTCGTGTGTGCGTGCGCGCAGCGGTGTTTCGAAGGGTTCTTTCAGTGTTGGGTTTGTGTGGGGGGCGTGGTATGTCTAGAATCAGAAACAGGGTTGGGACAAGCGGCAGTCATGGCCTATGGGCTTCTCAGAGGTCGTGTCCCTGACAAATTGGCTCAAGCTTGGAAGCCCGATTTGCACGATGCATTGGTAGAGCGACTTCGTCTGAGTGTTCTTGCTTTCCAGGACCACTCAGACATAGGCGGTCGATTACAAGCTGCATGACATCCGTGGCACACAGCCGGAGCGCAAGCTTTGCACTTTACAAGTGAACAACTGGCACTCTGGACCCCATGGCTCGGGCTTCGCAACGTCCAGGCCTGACTGCAGATATAGCCATAGCCTTTTTGAGGGAAAGCTGGGCTTCAGAATCCCATCTCCAGGCCACAAAGCCCGCGCGGCTGGCACCTGCCTTTTAGTCGCAGGGGTCCCACAGCCGCGTGATCCCCTTGTTATTCCAGCAGCACGTTCACATTCTACACTGTTTCCTGTGGGTGGATGCCGGTAGCGCTGCAGACATTGAGGGGACTTGTACCTCACTTCATATCCAATCAAGTCACGGAGCCAGTCAGGAGTCAACTGGTCTGCAACATGATACCTGGAGTTCACACAGGTTTCAACGCATGGATTGCTCAGGCATTTGCAACGTGTGGTTCAGTGCCTAGCCCAGAACGCAGAATCTCATGCTCCACAAAATTCCACCTACGATCCCTGAAGCTTCCAGGCATTCGTTGCTGGCAGGCTTGCGCAATCTGGCAGCAGGCCAGCACTGCCTGAATCTTCCAACGTAGCAGTGAAGTCTGCTATTTTGGCCTGTTGCTCACATTCTTGTCGAGGCCCCTGCTGGCTGCACGAGTCGGTGGACAGGGTGGTGAGAGCCGTGGCCCCACAGCTGTCCCTAGCGGCGGAGCCCCGAGCAGCAATCCTTTGCGACTGTTTGATATCTCCAAGTCAAATTGGGCTTTCTTATTCTTTGAATATCTTGGAATTTTCAGGCTCAGGAAGCTTGCAGTGGCAGATCAGAGTGCAGTCAGCGGTGTTCCTTTTACTGCTGTTGGCATATTGTTCTCGTATCGAAAACAACACTGCCGCGCTCGGACGATTGTCTCATCTGAACGCGACTGTGCGACTGAAACATACCAAACTCGCTCTCTGCATGGGGCATTCGACTGTTCGACAGCTCATTGCCTCCACAAGACCTGCATTGACCTACATGTACATAACAGTACTTACAACTGTTTCAAACGATGCAGTTGTTCATTCGACAATTGAAAATACATCGATTGACGCAGTCGACTTCTTGGAAGGTTCCTGATTGCAGACGCTGATTTTCAGGCATCCTCGTGGAGAGGCAGATTTCCCAGCAGCGTCAGGTGCGCTTGGCCGCAGCACACCTCGAGCTCTGTAACGTCTGTAAGTGCAGAATGGGCAAAGAGTCTTTCTGCATTGTGCGTGCGCGGTCGTCCAGAGGGCGTGCAGGGCGCGGTTCCCTTGAGGAGGAGCTGGGCACATCTCGATGGGCCTCGTGGCAAAGCGATGCGCAATTGGCTGAGACCTGGCCTGTGTCCTGGCTGCAGCTAGTGTTGAAAAAGCCATCATCAAAAGCATGGCAGAGAGAGATAGAGAGAGTAACATATTGCTTCCCATACTTGGTACATACGGGGGCCGCCTGGAGCGCGGAGGGCGGGGTCGCTCCCTCTCCTTTTACCCTTGTGAAAGAAGAGAGAGAGTGAGAGAGAGAGAGAAGGTAACTCCTCCTGACTCTAACCCCAAGCAAAGCAAAGCAAAGCAAAGAGAGAGAGAGAGAGACAGAGAGAGAGAGAGGCCGTAGCCATTTTGGCTCAAGCCCATGCAGCTCAAAATAAAAATAAGGAGAAGCATGATGAAATAGCCAAGAGAGAGACAGACAGAGAGAGAGAGAGCGACTTCTGGCAGAGCCAGAAGGCCCACCGCCACCAAGGGCCCCGAATGGCCGCACACGCGGATCGGCCCCGCTGACGGAAGAAGCTCGCACAGAGCGCAACCGCCGCGACAGAGCGGAATGGCGAGAAAGGCGACGACTTCGCCGACGAATGGGTCTGGAACCTGGTTACTACTACCCGAGTGGTGCGGAGCAGCGGAAGCGACCGAGACCTGAGCAGTGAGCACCGGCCTCTTTCTTGCCGTAATATACGGGCCAGGCTGAGTAGATAAATAAACAAAGTAGGGACAGAAACCACGCTCCACTATGCTGCTTGGGCCCCAGTGAGCTTTCTAATTGTTGCTTGTGTTGCCCTTCTCCTGATGGTTCCTACTTTTAGGCCCCTGCAGCAGCACCACAGCATCAACACCACCAGTGCGGGATCCCCACATGTGTGTCGTTCCCCTAGCGGCTGTAGTTCCTTGCCCCGTGCTTCCTGCCCCCAGGGGACCCCGCACTGGCAGCAGCAAACATCCACAAACCGTAAAGTAGCAGAACTCAGCCTTTTGTGAAACGTTGTCCGGGACAAAGATAGTTGGTAAGTGGCGGTGATGCCGTGCACTTTGTACTATGTCGCATGCTGAAGAGGACAACGCTACAAGGTGTGTGGCAACTACAGAGCGCCCTACCCCGTAAAAGCGGGGGCACCGTTGACAGCCACCACCAACACTCACACAGAGCCCGTCGAGTCCTATGAGGCGGGGATCAACCTGAGAGTGTGAGTGTTGGGGGGGCAGTCATGTGTCATTCCAACAGACGAACGCGGACACTGGCNNGCTTGTGCGCAGGGGTTCAGGGGACACCCCCTGGCTCCAAACGTCACGCAAGCAAGCAAGCAAGCAAGCAAGCAAGCAAGCAAGCAAGGGTGAGGGGGGCTTGCCCTCCTTGCCCCTTTTCCTGGCGAAAGAAAGAGAGAGAGAGGGAGGGAGTGTTAGACAATGGGTGGTCGTGCGGGCCAAAGGGCTGAGGGTCGCTAGACGACCCCAAGCCCGGCAGAAGAAGAAGAAGAAATGAGTGTTTAGGGTTTAGGGCAAACGTAGGGGTTCGCCTCTGCCTTTGACCTGCAGCAAGCAAGAGAGAGAGAGCCAGAGGGGATCCAAGAATTGTTTTGAACTACTGTGCATGGTGCCTGTAGTCATGCAAATGTTGATGCTTAAAGGTCCTTCTGTATCTTGTGCATGGGGGCTCTTCAACGGTTTCGACCCACTGCAAGCCCCACGATGATAGCCATAGGGGCACGGAGACGAGGCCGGGACGCGGGTTGGGGGTTCTAGTGTTCGGGGTCGGGGGCTTGCAGCACGAAGAATGACACAAATTCGATCTTCTTCTGCAGCAGTCAGCGGGGACCCCGAAGCCGACGACTCAATAAAACAATGGGTGGTTGGGCGGGCCAAAGGCCTGAGGGTCGAGCAATCGACCCCTACAAAAAGAGGGGGCGAGGCTTGAACGGGTTGATTTGGTGTTCGGGGGATTTGACAGCAGCCACCCGCCCCCCTCCGTGCAGTCCATAGGAACGGCAACCGCTCGCCAATGGAACCAAACAGGGAGGGGGGCCTTGGCACTGGTCAGCACTGCTGCACTGCTGACCTGAACCCAGCGGAAGGAAGGAAGAAGAGCCAGAGAGAGAGAAGGAAAAGGGGAGACTCCTCAGCAAGTCGTGGCTAGTTTCGCGAACAGTCAACAGGTGTCGATGTTGTCGTATGGGGGAGTCGCTCCACAGTACTAGTACGAGCTTCTTTCCAACCCCCTCGTACATGTCCAATGCGAGGAGATGCAGTCTCATTTACCTTGACGAGTACTCTGATGGCGGATGCGGAAACCGGGACGTACGGGCACTTAGTTTCACTCCGACCCGAGGGGGCTGCAATGACCTAGCGCCCTGAATGGACCAAGAACACGGCTGTGCGCATGCCGCGCTTGGGGGGGGGGGG